TATAAATCTGATTTCAGACAGTAATTTTGGCTGGAAACCAATAAATATTCCCCAGCTCATCATGAAACACACTCAATTAAAAAAATCAGAGTGCGATATTTTCATGACTTCGGTGCAATTCGTCCTTGTGTGGTTTGAGTCAGGATTATTTACGTGAGTTTTTCGCAAACACTTGTAGTTTACACTTTGGACATGTTAGCGATAACAAGTCGGTACTTTCCGGTGATTTACAAGCAGCAAACAAAGTATTTTGAATTCGGGTTGTGTGCATTTTCGGCACCTTGGTTTTTCCCCCTGTCCTAATAATGAAGGCAATAATGTGTAAAATATAAACAGAGCGCAGATAGCCGATATCTAAACCTCGCCGTGTTTGTATAAATGAAACGGCGCCATGCTTCACTTGTAACGACTATTAGCAGCGTCCCTGAATTCAAGTTAGGCACGAACTCGGTGTTAGACCTCTGATAATTTCGACGGTTATAATTCCGCGTCGTGAGAAAAGAGTGGAAAACATAATAGATCACGGCGAGACGTTTCCTAAGACCGCCATGATTTATCTGCGCGTTTTTCCGATTCGCTAATTAACTAATCCGGACGCGGATGCGCCAGTTGGTGCGTTCGGTCGAATAGGTGATTTGTATGCGAATGCCCGGAGTAATAATCGAGTGATTTTTCCGAAAATTGCACTCACTACACAAAAAAACGTGTTAACTTTGGGCCCAACGCAGCCGGACTAACGGACAATTCGCTCTCCCCTGTAAGTATAGTCTTCAGGGTCGCCATTAAAAACTCGCTTTGTAATAGCGAGTCCTTGCCCTATTATTACGTTCACGAAATTCGAAAGCTCTGGGGCTTTAGCCTCGATACTAATTAGAATCGGCCATAAATCCGGTATAATCGAATTATTCGCGTCCGGTGAAGTTTTCGCTTTTTTCGGACAAACAGTTCAGGTATCAGACGAAAATTTATGGGGTCTTAGCAACCGTTAGAACCGACCTAATGTCTTTATTTGGATGCCACAACATAATTATCGGCCTGTGTTTTCTACAAGGATAAAAATTAATACGAGATTTAGAGGGAAGATGAAATTCTATGGCGAGATGTAAATCACCACCGGACAAAAACCATTGATTAATGGCTTAATTACTAGACGAAAATATTAAAATAGTTGGCGCAGTTGCCACTGTGAGCACTCTCAACTTGTTATTCATGAACGGAGAGCTAAGTTATGGCCAGATTTGTGTGTTTGCTGTGTAGATTTGATAATTGCAGTTCATGAGAGACCACCGTGACCTCAATGAGTACTATCTTCATTCAACTCTTCAGTATTATGCCATAAAGGCGGAGTAATAGCTTTGTTATGATACCTGCTCCATTACGGACAGTAATTTTATTATTCCACTTCGATTCGCAGCTTCTGGCTTTGTCGGAATTACACGGATACCGTATTTGACACGAGTTTAGATAAACTCGCAGGGATTCACCCACGAAATACCGGCCCACGCGCTTTCGTTAACATATTCGATGAGTTTTTATTACTTAATTTATTAACGGAGAGATCTATCGACAGATAAACCAGCTCAAATTAGCGAAACGAAACACAAACTCGAACAAAAAAATACAATAACAAACAGCTAAACATATTTCTAAAAAAGCTGACTTTGTCTCTATGCTCGTTTATTATTTATGATGTTCCCACTTTACAAAACAAGACAAAAAATATCCTGATGTATCCAACAAACATACAATAAAACAAATGATAGATACTTTACGTTCCAACTGCAGCCTTTTGTTTCTAGATTTTCTGGTTAAATTTTTGTAAAAATAATTGGCTACATAAGAAATCTGAATTTTTTACTTTTAAGATACAAATAGAAGAAAAAAAGATTTTGTAAAAACATAAACAGTTTTAGGTAACATATCAAGAAGTTCAATAAATGTGTCAATATTATTATCAACCTTCAGTCTTTAATACTTTTTTTTTTGAAAATACTTACTTGTAACGTAAAGTAAATAAAGAAACTAATAATAAATAATTAAAATGTTGACCTGAGGCCGTTTTGTCATTTTTTTTATTTTACAAGTAATTTTACTATCACTTTTCACAGTTATGACTTTCATGTTTCTATGTAATTTCAAAGCAAAAATTGCATGAATATTCTTTTACAAATATAATAATTAAAAAAATAATGAAAAGCAGTATTCCTTAATTAAAAATGATAACATTGTGACTATAAAAAGACATAGTTACTTTCAACTTGTCTCCTAAAGCTCTAAAGTTTCGTATTAACATACAGAATTTATGGAGTCACTACACGCAATATGCAATTTTAGTTTCATTTTTGCTAAAAATGACTAACAACTTTCCATAAATCAGCATTTATTTATATCAATATATCTATATAAATATAATGATCAATAAAGTAACTAGAGAAAAAACATACAAATACAAACACAAATTTCTTATCAACGACTAAGAAGCTCATAAATCACGTTTTCGCTTTAAAATTTCGCCCCTTTTTTGACTGCCGTTTCCGGAAACAGCAAAAATCGATCCGATTTCATGTGAGCATAAGAAGGCGCGCGTTCGTCCGAAAACAACCCCCGTCTTGTTCATTTTCGTTCACCTATGAATCATTCTCACTTCATCGTTTATCTGTTTCAGATCGGTGCCGATTTCGTCACACTTGAACGGGAAACGGTGAAAAACACTCGAATGAGACACCTGACCTACGCTAATACCTTGGTGGAAGAAACAAGCAAATGTTTTTGGTGCGGTCCGTAGCGAGCAAAATACAAAAGGGGGTGTAACCGACTGGGCCACGATAATACGTCATCGCTCATCCGGACTGAGTCCGGCACATTTCGGGACAAGTCCGGGACTCCGGGTGCAAACGGCTGCAGCGCGGTTAGACGACGGAATTATCATGTGAATGAGGTAATATACAGAGTGGAACATTCTCAAAGTTTTGATACGAAAAATAAGGAAGCGTTATATTGAATGGGACTTTTTGCAGGTTGGCTTTGAATACCTAGATAGTTAGGGTGATGGACGCAAGAGGGTCGACCCCATTATACCTGATGGACCCTTCAAGTAAAATTGTGAAAGTGGATAAGAGCGCCATCTGAGAGGAGTGACTAACACTACATGATTAAGTTACAGTTGCCAATTTTTTTTTGGTCAAATAAAAATTTGAAAATTTTTGTTTTTTTGATACTTTTCCTATTTCCGCCTCTTTATGTTAATCAGAGCTCTTAAAAATAAAAATCGTTGTACCTCTATGCAAATTTTGAAAATTTATGATGCTGTTATAAAAGTTTGAACTTTGACATACGAGTTTCTCTAATAAATAAAATGCGTCGGAATTATTTACAAACACGATTTGTTTTCAGTTTTTAATTCATCCTCCCTGTATAGCGCGATAACATAAGTGTAGTAGATCGTGCGTTGGCGGCAATAGCGTTAATAAATCAAACTATAAATAAAAACAATTTAAGCAATCGGCGGCCCGTGAAAACCACAGCCGCTTCTTCAATCAATAATTCTTCAGCGACGTTGTAGTAATTTCAAAAAGATATACCTTTGAACATTAGAGTTCCCCATCAACTCATTACTCTCTAGCGTATGAATAGCGTCTCGCAATAAAGACCGAAAGAAATTTTTTGTCGGCTCGTTAGCGATGTCCTCCCGAAATATGAAACGACCTTAACCAAATTACATTCCATTGACCCAAGACAATTATTTTGAAGTGGCGAGTATTACGATCTCAAAACAAGGATTATTTTGGTCAAAGCGGACAATTTTTTTACGGGAAAATAGGACGGCGTCTAGACGGCCGAATAGGCGAACAGCTGATCGTCCCTCGTGCTCTGACAAGGACCCGATTTGTTCGACGAGGACGAGAAGAGAGAAATTCGACTGAGGGACAGAGATGTGGCAATTCAACCCTGATTTTACACGCACTTGACTTCGCTGCAGGTTCAACATTTACATAACTTTGGCGGTTAAGGTGCGGACATACGCGCGGACGGGCCAAAGGACAACAATTAACAGCAAAAAAATTTAAAATAAAAAATCAACAAAAAAATTGTTTATTCAAATTAATAGAATTAGTTTGTAGTAGATAATAATTAAGTAGTTCTAGTGGCAATAAATATTGAAGAAATTATGAATGACAAATCATAGAAAAATAAAAACAAGATTTATATTGTACGTTACCAACTAATAATATTCTGAAATATAAATCACTAAATTCAAGATACTTTACGTAATTAATAAAAAATATATATCAAATTTTAATTTTAGAAAATAGAGGAAGGAGACGATAAAGATGAATCACAAATTATAAAATAAAAAGGTGCGTTATATTGTGCCAAGAAATTTATTTTTAAATCCAATACGAATACTATCAATAAAAATACAGATATAGCTAATCTCTTTGAGTATCAACATTAACTACTTACTATTGACAACGCGTAAGATAAATTTAGGTACTTAGTTAAAATAATTTACCTAATAAAAATGTTTTTTTTTTGCAAAAAAAACTTCATTCAGCTATTTGTAACTTGATTAACATTTTAACTAGAAGTATATGTTTAGAAATTCCACTTAACGTGTGTTACCTAACAATTGTTTCTTCCGTGGTATTTTAAAATAACATTGATTTACTGTCAATGGTTATATTTTTCTTACTGCACCAGCAACAAAACTGAAGAAATCAGAATGAAAAAAAATAAATAAAAATTAAACTCAGATAGCTCATAATATTATTGAACAAACGATATTCCAAAAACTTAACAAAACAAAAACCTTTGTTTTACTATAATTTACTAATTAATAGAACAGGTAGTTCAGTGTAGTAAAATGTACATAAAATGTTTGTTTTAATGACGATAAATGTTATTCACGTTTTAAAGCATACAATTTGACTGGAGCTTTAGCGAGTCTCCTGCAAATTGTGTCCGTAGCAGGAGTCCGGAGGCTTAGACCTATCACCAACCTGCAATGGCCATCCAGGGGTAAAACGTGTGGTTGGTCTGCTGGTGTATCTGCGTGCCCACCGGCTGCGAGGAGGTTGAGTTGATACTGCAAGGGTTATTCCAGGAGAGCGAGTTTCCCGTTCGTCCTGCGGCCGCCCCCGGACTCGACGCCGGATCTCCGCCGACGAGTCCGACCGATCCGTATCCAACCCTGGAGTCCGGCGTGCATGCCGCCGGTCTGACCGGCCCCGTCAAACTGTTCGTGAGATTAGCGCCACCGCCAGAAGTCGCACTTTGCCAAACGTCCTTGACCGCGGCCGCCGCCACCACCGAGGCGTATCCGTTCTGGTCGGCGTTGCCTTTGGAGCAGTCCGGCTTCGAGTTGGAGGAGTAGTTGGAGTTCTGCTGGCCCTCGGAGGAATACAGCTTGCAGGCCGCCGCCACCGACGCGTCGTATGGCGAGTCCTGCGGGGGCCGCGCCTGCAGGTGGTGGTGGTGATGCTGGCTGGAGGCGTACGGAGACATGCCGAGCGAAAGTGGAAAAGAGCGGTAAGCCGCCGCCGCCGCTGCTGACTGCTCGTGGTGGTGGCCCGCCACCGAACCGCTCTGGTGGTGGTGGCTGCCGTAGAAGCCGCTCTGCTCGAAGTAAGAGTTCATGCTGGGGGCGGCACAAGTCACTCGACACCGGAACCGGACATGACAGTCACACGATTATTATTATTATCGAGAGTGATAAGGTGATAAGAGCTCGCACGAGCACACCACACAGCAGCTCGCTCCGGAATGCACACGTTGGCTACTTAGCTCGCGGATGGGAACCCACTGGAGCTCCGGAGTCTGCTCCGGCCCACACATCCCGGCCCATCGCTCCCCTCTCCCCCCACTCCAGACGAGCACGCGGCTCATTATTGCAGCTACCTGTATTGTCGGCCGATCGGACACGGTCGCACCTAATTAGCGCCTGACCGGCTCCTCCAACGGCTATTTTTCCTCCAAAAGGGTCGCAAAGGCCTTAATAACCCCTGGAGCACGTGCTTCAACACGAAGACGCTTTAATGGAAGGGATCATACGTGAACCAATAGCAATTGAATTCGTCACAGCCTTCAAGCATTGCGCAAGTGGCCCCAAACAAAACGAAGAGGGGAGGCGCGTGGCGCCAGCTCTCGGACAATTGCTTAACTTTTCAAAACGACACTCTTGCCGAAACGAGCAACATCAATTGCCAATAAAAGATAAAACGACCATTGTACCACAAATATAAACAAAATCATCGAAAAGTAAATTCAACATCTAAAAAACTCTGTTGAATCCGAACGTTTATTTCAACTTTACAAAAGACAAAATCTATAATAAGCCACCAAATAAACAAAATTGGTTTTGCAATAAATTAACATTAATCTAATTTGTTTGTTCATCATACAGCACTAAATTTTAATTACTTGTCAAGTTAACTTGTGAACTAGTTTGTTTTTTAAAAACAGATAAACTCACCACTTTTAAAGAACTAAAAGTTATTAAAAATAAAATACTTTTTTATAAAAAATATACCTACGTATTAAATAAGAAATTCTAGAAATAAGTAAAAACAGAGTCAATTGCTTTATGGGTGTAATTATCTTTGGTTAACCCACAGACGGCTACCAGCGGTTTTAACCCTCAATAAAAATATCTCCGAACTTAGCCAGTTGGGCTGGTTTCCAGGGCCGTATTCACTGTATGAAAAGCTTTATGTATGAAAACTAAACTATTCAATAGCTAATTTTAAATGCTACGGTTTCTTTTTCTGTACAGCTTTTAACAAGGATGTTTTTTTTTATTGGTTGTAGCGTATTTTTTTAAATAACAGTTTTCTCGACTCGAACAATTTCCGCCTCTGCTTGCAAGAAATTGCAACATTTTGACCTGCTGTTTTTAACAGTTTATGGCTAGGGATTGATACCCAGCTCTTAGGGTGCAATAAAGGAATAGACTCTGTTCTCACTTATTTCTAGAAGAACTATAGGAAAGTGACCGAAAGAAAAAGATTATTTCTGTAGACAGGTAGGTACAATTTATTAAATAAATATTTAATTAAAACAACAATGACATTATTATTTATCCATCATAAAAATTATTTTACATCAATACTTTACAGATTGAACTTAATAAGAATTTTGTAACCGAATTGCAATTGGTTGATTGAATTTTGTGCACAACAGGTATAACTTATTCTGACCTTAGCCAAGTTTTGCAACCCAAAATAAATTGTTTCCAATATTTTTTATTGTAGTTGAGTAGGTATATCATGTGGATAATGCGCCAGAACTCGCGCCCCAGAGAAAAATGCCATATAAGGTAAGATACCAGGAACATGGAAAAAATGTTAAAAAAAAAATATCTATAAAAATTTCGAAGTTATGAGAGTTTAAAGTTTGCACTTGACTCTTATTTATTTCTGTTGGAAAAATAATTTTTCAAGTTTTTTTGCTATAGGCTATTAAAAGAGGAAACAAGGAAGCTGTATTCCAAATTGTAACTCTGTTCAATGTTATTTGTGGCTTTTATTGGCAAAATTTTTGTCCCTTTACTAAATAATTGTAAAAAAACATATACAAAACCATCAGTATCATTAAATAGACATAAAAAATGATGATCATTAGTATCATTAAATAGATATAAAAAAAATGTCAAATGTCAAAAAATAAATGTCAAAATTTTTTTAAATATTTTTTTCATGTTCCTGGTTACTTGAAAATTTTGTCTAGGGAGAGAGTTCTGGTGCAGCCTTTATATAATATAATTTAATTATAATATAATTTTTCTTCAATTAAATTGTAAAATCAGTAACAATTAACTGTTAATTTGGTCATAAAGCATGACAACAAAAGAAGGAGAGGGTTTGATCATATTTAAATCAACCACAAGATTACAAAAATGTACTACAATGACAATTCGGAAAAAAGCTCCTCTGTGTCTTTAAATAAATCCCTTTTACTTTAATCCCCGTTGTCATTATTGAATGGTTTAAATCCTGGGGGTTGAGACAGAAAAAAGGGCCAGATTATTACAGTTTACACAAACCAGTAGTAAAAATTTTACGGCATTGGCACGCTCCTGCCACTTTATGGAGTGGCGGTGTCATAATTTTGCCATGGTCGTAGGTGACATTTACGATCACTCAAATCGTAATAAAATCAACTTTTATTGCTGTCTTACCTCCTTGCATATTGAAAGTGCCGAACTTGACACTTTCCAAACACTTCTCGACATAAGGATGAATTTGCCCGAACGAAATTTTATTGTATTTTTACGAGCGCATAATAGCTACTATAATAGCCGGTAGGTTTGTTCTACGTGTTTTATACCAAAGATAAGTCATTCCTGAGTGATAATTTTATAATTTGATACTTTTTCCTGCTTAAGTACTAATTTTATGTTGCAATAAAACCAATCTACATAACATTAGAACGCCATAAACAATTATAATTAATTTTATGTTTCGGCATGGTTCTCATTCCGAGATTTATTTATTTTTAAATGACGACAACATAGATTCTTCAAATAAACGATCAGCAAACGGCTTCCGGAATTTTTACGATTATTCGCCAAGATATAGGTAAGGAGAAACATGTTTTGTTTACGCAAGTAGACAAATAAAATAGATAAAATATTGATGTAAAACACGTCCCACAGAATTACATTGCTAACTTAATCAACTATAAACCTTGTGAATAATAATGGTGCCATTACATAAACAGTTATGTAGTTAGTTTTCAAAAATAAAATTTATTTCAACGTACACGTGCTGCTGAAATATTTATTTCAAAATGCAGAACAATTTATAAAACATTTTACTTGTTTTAATCGACAAAACGGAGCTTTCATAGCTTTCTCATTGTGTGCAAAATGGCGGTCACGACGTCTTTCACTACCGAAACGTATTTACCTAAAGAAAAATTTATTACCCAAACAGTAAAACCCACAATACGAGCCATCCGCAAATCGTTAAAAGATGGTTCAGGTCTTTAAGTATCTGTTCACACTTTAAAAATTATGGTTTTATGGATGGCTATTGAGTTATCCCACTTGCCTTTGAATTGAAAGTTCTTTAAGGAAAATATAAAAAAACAATTAATTAATTAAATGACCAGCAATTTAGTAAAACTTCGATAGGCCGACCGAGAAGTTGGACCCATAACTAACGTTCTTTCGGAGGCTTATCCTATGTTTGTTGTCCTTCCTTAACCAAGATAATGATGAGTTATTACAGCCATAAGAATAGTTTATTATATGGTCAAAGTTAGAACCATTTATTTGTAGAGTGATCTCGCAACAAATCTTAATTTTGCCCGAAATTATTAAGAACTAATAAAATCGAACATATTGATAAAACACTTCGTCGTGCTCTAATTATTATAATTATTATGTAAAATAGATTCACAACGCACGAATTTTGATTAGGAAGAGATTTTTTCTATATGATATTTTTCCGTCTTAAAAATTAGGTGTTGAAAGTGTTATTTAGGTTCTCAGATTAAAAAAAAAATGATTGGCGGGTCTTGAGCAATTACTTTTATCCGTGTAATCCCTCCGTCTCTTATCAGATAATAAGCCATCTCGTCCCAGCGCCATCATTCCGCTTTCCATCAGACTAATTTCCCCCTAAACGCTCTGAAAGTGCACCATTGCAATTTTCATCTTAAGTTAATTATACCATTGTAAAGCTAACGAGATAGTTTTTGCCTCAGCTGAATGCTGCAGCTCTACCTGCAAGAAAAATCCGGAATGAAGGTCGTCCGGTAAAAATCCGGTAAGCTTCGAGCGGACGCACTCTACCAGCCGGTAGCGGAACTAAGTGGCAAAAGCGCAGTTACCATATTCCGAAAACATTTACAATCAATACGATGGGAGTTTTATGGTCTATAAGAAGTCGTTGGTGCACGGAACGGCTTGTAAAATGAGGCACAAATGTTTCTACTTGCGATAAGGTTACGAAATAAGCTCCAGTTATGTTGTTTACTCGCCCTAAAGAACTTACTTATTATTAAAGCGCACTTTCACCTTTAGCACCGGATTATTTCAACAACTCCGGAGTTGAGACTGAAATAACTTATGTAATAATTAAGAAATTGTTGGGAAATTTAACTCTTGGCCCCACGCTTTAAATTATTGATGTATCCATTTACTAAATTTGCATTTAAAGTAGTTAACATGCTGATTTGATAGCTAATTAATAAAAAAAATAAAATGGCTTTTTTAAGGAAATTCATACAACCGATGTGAATTCACTCATTATAAATATTTATGGCCGACGTTCAAAGAAATGTCAGTCGTGACGAAAACAAAGGAAAGGTCATGACCTATCAATTATCAAGCCAATTGAAAAATATGGATTTAATATAAACACAGACATTATTCAATTTATTAAACGAACGATTTGTCTCAGACTAACTTACTCGTAGATCATGTTTTTGAACACGCGTGGGTGAATTTTTTTGGTAAAAGTTGCTCTCAATTGAGTAACATGTTGAAGAATGTCAACATGTTTCTGAAAATTTGAAACCGTTACCTTTCATCAACGTCTCAAAATTAGCCCCATCGTAATTAAATCAGAAAATTATTTTTAGTTGCCTAAAAGTGATTTTGATAAAATTGTAATTTCGTTAAAGTGTTCAAGTCGCGTTTCCGAGGCACTTTATGCAGCCGGGGATAAATCGTACCTATAGGGTGGGTATAATATCTACTACGTAAAGCACCCATCGCAGTATCGTAATGAGGCTTGTTAGTAGTTAGTAAAAGTGGTAACGGCGCGTTAAAATGTCGTAAAGCGGCTTTTTATTAGCCGTAAAGTTCCTCTAAGGTCGAGAGGTTCTTATGGCTGTTAAAGACTTGCTTCGTGCAGATGTCTGATTTGGCACTATGGCACGTAAACAATTATTGTCTTTTTATGCCACTTTTACGGCCAATAAGACGCTATGTGTATAGGGGAGAAACGTTTTAAAACGTCTAAAGTGACAACCAATTGACCAACAAATTACTTGCATTTTTCGGGTGTGGGTGACTAAATTTTATTACAGTTTGTTATCGCGCACACGCATAATTATTTATTTAACTACAAATATAATTAATTTCAAATCTCGTTAACAATTCAAATTCATAAATCAAAAATGAATTTAACGATAAGCATCAAACAGCATTGCTACCAGCTACATTTTAAAAACAAATAAATACAAAGGCACTGAATAAAGAATACAGTGTTTCAGTTTGTGAAAAGTTAAACAAACAATGCTCCTATACAAGGGCTTCCGTCTGAAGGTTGGACTGAAAAAGTTGATATTCTGCTTCGGCTATTTTCAGCGGCGAAATCAAAGCTTATCCAAACTGGTCACGTCGCACCACGCCGTATATTAATTTCCCATATAATAACCAGTGCTTTTTCATAGAGTATTCTAGTCAATTAGCACAAAATTCCAAAGAGAAATGGTCTCATCAAAAAGCGCAAAAAAGCTCTTAATGAAAATTTCAAAGCGATAATTTTTTTTTTACAAAAAGAAACTATTAAATCTATTATTATTTATATTATTATTTTGTATTCAAACAAATTAAACAAAAATAATAAACTAAAAATGCCGTATTAATACAAATAAAGAAATTTTGAAAATAATACCTATTACACGTAAAAACAAAAACATTTTTTGGTTAAAAAATATGTTTTAAATAAAAATTTATATTTCAGTTAATAAATTGCTTCAATTAATGCAAACTCTTTAGGAATAGAGCCAGATTTAATTATCTCAGAGTACGTTTAAATTATGGAGCGAGTGCACTTATTGTAGAGTAAACACTAAAATAAATTGCAATTAAAACACGTCTTTAGTGCATTTAAAATATCTAAAGTGGCAACCCTTATCATTATAACTTGCTATAATTACCGTAATTATAATTTACGATGTATTAATTATTTACATTACTTTAAAGCCGATTATCTCGCCATTTACAAGTCTCAACACCGATGTTGTAATTATTAATTAAGCAACAAATTCGGTATTTTACATAATATGAACAATAATCGAATTCCCTAAAGCGACTTCCATTCTTTCTTCCCAGAATGCATTTCGGTCGGTTTAATGGCCGCCGCCTGTCTTTTGTCAGAATGAAAACATGCTGAAGAGGCGTGGCTTGGTCTAGCCTCGCACTGGGTCCATCACCGCCAACAATTCCCAAATAAAACTGTGTTAAAAACTCACCAAAATCGATCGTTGTTCTCACTACATCAAATCTCTTTCTGTAAAATTGAATTTTCGTACAAATATCTCGCGAAAAAGTGTGGGAATTTATAGAATCACAAATTTTCGATGGGTCACAACCGGAGGATGCTTGACTGCGGCGGCCATATTGGATGCTTTCCCCTACCCGATTCTCG